GCTTCCAAATAGCTATCAAAATGTGCCTTACTTTGTAGCAAAAGCAAATGTTTATTAGTCTATGTGTAATAATAGAGAAAAAAAAAAGATTATGCATTTCTTACAGCCACCACAAACTGCCCCATCATAGTTAGTATCAACCATAACTTTGCACATCCGTAAAACGTACATTCATCAACACGGAAAAGGACAACTGGATGGTGCGCCCTGGGTCCTAACCCCCTAACGTGCGTGATCGCATCCGACAGACTCAGGTAAAATGGGATGAGCATCCTTAAATCTGTAATCTCTGCAGTGGGGTCAGAAAGGTATAGACAACGTTAAAATACTTCTCCAACTCGACCACACGAAAGGACTACGTACATATGTAACTATTAGCTTTGGCAACACGTCCTCATCGGGACCATGGAAGTAAGCGCGCTTATTCACCCGGCAGTTTATTGTGCATACAGAAAGGAAGAGCGTCGCACCGTGTTAAAGGCTGCTAATAACAGCGCAAAATGTTCTAAAGCACGAAATCTTGAAGCAGATGCTGAAGAAACTAGGTCGCTCGAAAGTCGAGCACCTCACCGCAGCGAACAGCGCTTCACTGTCCTCGCTGATAATGCCAGAAATTTGAATAGTACTCCTGTTCCCAGTGGCAAAGATCGTGCCCATCGCAGACCACCCACACGAATTTCGTAAGCACTGATTACTCAATTTTACCAAACATGCTGGTTGATTTTAACATAATCATTCCAGGTAAACGGTAGCAAAACTACATTTAGTTGCCACTTACGTATTCTAACCTAATATTTTTATATGCCCTTAAGATTCGTATGTCGTGTGCAAATCTCTATAGATATTTCTTTTAGCAACTCACCTGTTGAATATTTCTCCTTTTTATACACATCGCGATCTCGATCCCTCATTTTTTGCATATAACTGAAACGATCACTACCGCGATGATCACGATCGCGTATATCGTGCGAACCGTGTCCCCTTGACGATGGCGAATCTATTTCAGGCGATTGTGAACGATACGAAGCGCTGTTACCATTATTCATAGTAGTTTGCGATAATCTTTGCGAAACTGAAAATGAGAAAATTTCAAAATCAAGTTATTACGAAATTCTTTTGTACTCTTAGTTGGCATAAATGACATATGTAACTATGCTCACCATTGTTCAATGGACCACCACCACCAGATGGTGACAGATCCCGATCGCGATAGTTGGATGACCGATCGCGTTCATAATCACGCTTTGAACTGTACTTGGAACTCTGTAAGGCACAAATATATAAATAAAACCAATATAAAACAAATTGCGTGAAAATCTGAAAGCACGAAATGAGGTGCTGATAAACTATCAAATGCAGGGAAAAACAAAATACACAAAACACCAAGAAAAGTAGTTGCCACATTTGGGGGAATGGCCAATGAATGTGAAATGTAAATAGCCAATAGAGATAAATAATTTAGAATTTGCGTTACATATAAAAAAAAAGTTTCGTTTTTCGTTTAGTAGATTTTTTTGCATCTTTTTGTTTTTTTATAATTTTTGAATTTTTAGCGATGATTCATGATAACAGTTGGCCAACATTAAACTGGGAATAAAAAGTATGAATCTGCAGCAGTGTGAGGTACACTTAGCGGCAGGACATGCGGCGAGTGGGTTTTAATTTTAAGGTTATTCTGTTTCGTAACACCTTTCGCCCTCAGTATCGTGCCGCCAAGTGTTCATACGAACTTTGCATTTTTTTTTTTTTTAGTAGTTAGCTTGTGTAAGAAAAAAGAGTTGTGTTCAAGTTATCTACAGTAGTTGTGTTGGTGCCATGTGACGCTACTGTGCATACGTTTTTCATATGGACAAGCGCATGCGCAGCGTACGCCCACGACCGGCGCGCTTCTACTTACATCATCTATGCGACACAGACCGACAGCAGCACTTTTGTTACAGCCGGGTGCCAATGGTAAGTCTATTGCGATACTATTTGTGGTAGTCATAAACAGTGGAATCGCGCGAGTGTACTAAATAGAACGCTTCACGAATCGCAGGAAGCGTCTCGCTGAGCAGACACTAAGTTGATAGTGTTTTGTGCACGCACTCACACTCGTGTTTTTTTTTTGTTTTAATTTTTCTAAGCGTTGATGCAACAATGCAGATGCGTTGGAATTTCTTTCTAAGTACAATTTTTTTTTCAAGCTTTTGTAGGTGCACTTTGAAATGATGTTAACGATTTGTGTTTAAGTATTGGTGTAGTATTATTTAAATCATGTTTTTTTTAATTTTCTTATTATTATAATTTTTCTTTTTTTGTTAATGTTTTACTTGACTAACGCGAAGCGAAATGAGTTGCCTTGAGTAGATGGAACACACAATGTGAGAGGTTATTTGTCGGTTTGTTATGTTGTAGGATTTGTAGATGTTACTAACTTACAATTGCTTGCATTGCTTGTTTTAGACATTTTTTTTGGCGTTTTCGACGCGAAAACTTTCAGCTATTTTTTCTTTAGTTTTTAACTTAGTTATGTTATCCTCGGTTATGGGTTGTAAGTGCTTGGTATGTTTTGTTAGTGACTACAACGAAGGAGAGCTTTCAAAATTGTATGCTGAGATGGTTCGCTGGTTGGTTGATGTAGTTAACGAGAAGACCGATGCAGTTTGCACATGTTTGCAGTTGGAGAAGAAATTATTAAAAACAAATTGTTGAAAAATGCGCACATACAATGAATAACGAAACACAAGCAGGTCATAGAGAAATGTGAAGGTTTTGGTTTTTATTATTTCAATATCAAGCAAACAGAAAGTTGGCTATAAAACTTAATCATTATAATTTTAGCAAAGGAAGAGTTTGCTTTTAGCAAGAAATACTAGTTTTGAAAAGACATTATTAGAATTAGAAAAAAATCAAAATTAAAGTTATGCATGTATACAAAAAATAAGTTTATTTGACATACATACTTATGTACATATACAGTCAGCAACAAAAATATGCGTAACCTTACGTTTTGACGATTTTATTTATTTATATTTTCCATTATATTATATGTTCATTCAACAGCAAAATCCACTAGAATTATTTTTTTTAATTTCATACAGAACTCGGGAAAATGCTAAATATTTATTATCAGGAAATATTGCATCGAAATTTTCAATTTTTCAATTCGATTTTTTTGCAATATGCAGTATGCAGTTTTATAGCCCATTAAAGTTTAGTATAATAAAGTGCGAGTTTGAAGTCGCCAAAAGTTTCCGAGAATTTTTTGCCGAGGGTATTGCGCATTTTCTTCCATATAACGCACGAACAAAATCATTTTTATATGAAAGAAGGTACGCAATAAATTCTTAAAATTCAACGGTAATTTTTAGCGAAGTGAAACTTGCACTTTAATATACTAACTTTATTTTCGAGAACACTGCTGTACATCATTTAAAGGGTATGTTAATCCTCTTTTCAAAAACACTTTCATTTTTAACAATCGGATGAAAAATAGTCGAGCCATTAATAACACGGTGTTACACTGATCATGAACTTTTTAAGGGACCTAGTACAGGTCGTAGGGCTGGTCGAGAAATTCAAGAAACTGCGTTTAAAATTTTTGTAACACCCTCAAATTTTCGGCTTATTCAAATTCTCGATTTATTATTGATTTTTACATGACTTCCCGCATTAAACAATTTTTAGCTCGACTATTTTTAAGTTTCAATATGGCTATTTTTAAGTTTTATATGGCTTTGGAAAGACGAATATTTGGACTATTTAATAAAATAATAGGATTTGTGAGCATATTGTAAATAAGTGGAAACTAGTTTTTATTATTTGTTCCACTTTGAACTAAAGATTTTTCCATAATTACTTCCATGATATTTCGCATAAAATTTTAATCAATTGGATTTTTATAACTTTTTTATTGATTTCAATGAATGGCACCTAGTTTTACTTGGAATTAAATATTATTTTCAAAGTAATGACTAAAATAGACTATTGCTTTCGAAATTTTGGCAAAAAATGTTGTTGAAGTGGAAAAAATAATAAAAATTGGTATAAATTTCAGATTTATTCCAAAAATGTTCCCCATATTTACAATGTGCTCATAAAATTTATTATTTTTTTAAATGTACAAAGATTTTTCTTTCCAAAACTCTATATAAAGTTAAAATTGGTTAAAAAAATAACCGAGATAGAAATGCCTAAAGTCATGCAAAATGGTATTGTAAGAATAAGTTGAGAATGTGAGTGTTAGAAAATTTTTGAAAACAGTTCCGTGAATTACTACAGTGCTACGACCTGTACTAGGTCGCATAAAAAGTTCGTGCATTTTATTTTTTTATTTTGTAACACCGTTTAATTGATCATACCTGTCGTGAAACAGTGTTTCAACTATATGGAGGCAGGTGGAAAAAAGTCGTGGTGACACTGGGTTTAAAAAACCGGTTGGACTTAGAGAGCGAAAAGTAAATAAATACATAAATACAAAATTTCACATCATTCCTCCCTACGAACGGTACATTTCCAGAAACATACTGGAATCGGCGCGATACCGACTAATGCGTTTGCTCTGAACCCATTAAAGCAAGTGTTTCTTTTTCCACTGTAATCAATTCTTTAAGTGCCATGGAAAATTCAGGGCAGTGGCGAATACATACTTGGATCCACTTGTCGAATAAGGCTAAATAGACTGCACAAAGAAAAAAGTAACATGACTTTTTCAAACAGCGTAATTTTCGGGGTTTTCATTTTAGCGATTTGAAAATTTTGAACAGAAAAAGTAATTTTTAAAGCATTTTCACATTATTGCAGTTTACGGCTCATTCGTAATTTATAAACAAATCAAGTAATTTTGCCACATAAAATGTATCAACAAAGGCGAAATTCGCGAAAATTTTTAAATTTGTGTATCAGGTTTTTTAGAAAAGTTTTGGACATGCATTTTTATAGTCAATTTAACTTATAGCTGTTTTTGTGATAATTTTTTTTGAACTTCTAATAGTTGGATTTATTTCTTTCGTTATTATGTTTTTTATGGACAAATCTTAAAATAAAACTAGTAGACGTACAAAAAGAAAGCACGTACTATAATTTATATTCTTTTGAACTATTTGAAATGGGTATCTATATGGGATATTTTTTTAGCAAAAATTTGAAAGAAATGGTTATAGGAAGAGTCGATGCTGACATAATTAAAAATCTGTGTGTCAAAGATTCGGTGGAAAAACTCGATGCAGCGCTAGTTTCTTCCTTCTGTTTTCTTCATCAGTAAAAATAACTTAAAAATATAAGAAAACGAATAAGGAAAAGTGCGCTTGATACTGAAATGCTTTCGTCGGAGCTGAGTACCGAGATTTACTGAATTAAATCGCACACCGCCTTCAAAAGAGTCACAACTCAAAATTTATAATTTTTTGCGATTATGCGCTAAAAATGTACGCAGAGCTTTTATTTACCTTTCAGTAAAAGCTGGAGCAAATGTTTGTTATAATTAAAAAAATCTTAGGTAAAGTCGCTCTTGTTGATAAATTATCATGTGCTAAGAAATAGTTTTTCGCATTTTCTGACAAACGTATTATTTTGAGTTGTGACTCTTTTGAACACGGTGTGCGAAATGTCCTCAAATTTCAGTCATCTTTAGATCTTCGACGAGAACGGATGGGTTTTTAGCACACTTTACCAAATTCTTTTTTTATATTTTTAAGTTACTTCTTTAATTTAAATTGAGAAAGCATCGAAATTTTGGAAACTGAAAATTCTACACAATTTGCAATTATTCGTAAATGAGAGCCTATCTGAAAAAAAGGAGGGCATATCCGAACTCGCCGATCTACATAAATATGCCATAGATATATGAATGCCGTTTTTCGAATTTTTTTTAAGCTTGTTTTCTGCGGACCTATGGTATTCTATGGATAAATATGTCACGAAAATGAACCTAAGATAAATGTAGTTAGCCTTTTTTCTCATATAAATGCCTAATTATGATTAAGTTTCGTATTTTCTTTTATTACGTAACAGAAAAACACCCCAAATAATTTTGACCGCTTTTACTATGCAAATAATTACTCCTTTATGCGTTGGCGAAAAGATTTACATGATTTCTTATACATTATAAACAGCGCATTACACATACGTAATTTTTAAGTATAAATATTGCTTTTCTGAGAGTGGAAAGCAGAAAACGAAAATTAACCAAAATTCCATCACATTTAATGATTGGCGCCACATTTTTGGCGAGTTGTAGACGTTATAGTGATCCAATTTTTCCCATATTTTATATTTAGGGTTTTCTACTAAAAGAGAGATTACAAACTAAATTTCATCTAAATCGGATCAAATTTAATGTTTCCGCCCACCAAAGTGGAAGGCTTGGCAATTATCCCACCTTTAAAAAATTTAATAATTCCTTATTCTAAAGTAAAATTGGAGCACATGCCAAGTTTCTGCGAAATCGGTGCAGGTTAACTATTATTACCACCTGCCTCCTTATAGCCGAAGACCTGTGCGTCATTATGAAAAGATCCCTGCATCGACTTTTTAGCTAAATGCCAGGCAAACATTTTTTTTTATACAGACTCCGCTGCCCGTAAAATTTCTACTTCCAGCGACTTGAAAAGGCCCTGTCTCATTCTCAGAATTTTGGAAAAAATGTTTGCTTCCTAAATATGTACAGGTTGGAATTAAGTTATATCGGCTGAGGGAGGATTTACAATGTCAGTTTGTAGTCGAAAGTATTTTTTTTCCTGGAAATTTTATTGTGTACAATAACAGATTGGTGTGAACTCTTTCTTATTGATAGAAATGCAACCTTTTCGAACTTTAAGGACTGAAGCTCTTCAGAAATCAACTGATAGAGCCTTATCAGTGATTTGGCCTTGTCAGTGTATACATAAGCAAATCGACAAACACCACGACAGCCGTTTCTACGTACCGGAGTGACTCGGGTTTTACCCGAACAAGGGCTGCCGTTGTTCGAGCATAGGGCTACATCTGCTACGTACTGTTCTGCTCAGAGCTGGCATCGAGTCAAACCCTGAGCCAGAAACTTACACCTGCTCAGTCGAGTGCAATACTTGCACCGTGTGGAGTAACCTCCGAGTCTGGTCAGGCCTAAGGACTCACCGGCAGTGGACCGCAACATATGTGGCTCAAATAGAGGTGCCTCCACGACACACCCAAGTCCGCCGAAGCAGCTCAACACAAAACCACGCAATAGACCACACCACAACCACACAACAGATATAACCGCACCACAACACACGCGCCTCCGCCAACAACTCCTGGATCCTCCAACAATCTGCACGGTGCGTCAGGCCAGGATATTCCGTAACGTGATATCAGTAAAGTACAACACCTGTCTTGGCTGGAGCCACTTTAGGGCATGTTCAGGTCTGCGCAGCACGCGAGATTGGACAAGGAACTCCCGAGGGCCCGTGCTGCTCTGCTCGGTCGCCAATTCCAACAGCGATGCCGCCCACTACTACAATAGAGCGGCACCTTCCTTCTTCTTCTCGGGCACACAAAAGCAATAGTCAATAAGGTACAGAGCCGCAACAAGGTCCTCAAATCGCCAGCCGGCAGTACCTGGGGCAAAGACAAAGAAACATTGCTGGCAACATACAAGGCAATTGGCCTTCTGGTTCTAAACTACGCAGCGCCAGTGTGGACGCCGGGGACCACAAATAGATGAAGCTACAAACTACACAAAATTCAGCACCCCGGACAACGGCCGGATGTCTTCTGATGTCGCCAGAACATCACTTACATAAATAGGCGCAAATGCTCCCCATCAGGGAAAACAACACAATGCTTTGCAAGCAATTCTTAGTAGGGAGATCAGACGTGGGCACCCGAACAGACAATTAAAGCAGAGGTTCATAAAGCAAGCTATGGATTCGACAGCTTGCCGACAGGCCATAAACGGCTTTCGCAAGAGGACACTGACTTTTGACCTGTGAACGCCGTTTTGAGAGCCTTTCTCGAGAGACTCGAACAACAATAGTCCAACTTCGCTCTGGCTACTTCAGTAAGTTAAAGTCGTACCTGAGCAGACTAGATGCGGATGTGCCGGCATGCGGAGACACCCCACGACTAGAGACACATCTTCGCATGACCACTAAACCCCACTCAACTAACGCCTCTGACCCTATGGACGGACCCTATAAAAGCTGCACTAAGTCTAGAGATTGTTGAATGTTAAGAGAAACATATTAATCGATGTAAGAATCATGAACAAAATTTGACTAAAAAAAATTACGCAAACAAATTAGCAGCAGCTGTGGGCGTATTACCCGCTTTATCGCGGAGAAGGTGTATAGAGGGAGTACTAGAATTTTTTCTTGAATTAACATAATATGTCAAAATGCTTTCGTTTTTTTTTTTTTTTTTGAATTAACATAATGCCAAAATGCTTTCGTTTTTTTTATTAGATTCAAAGCTTAGGACGCAGTTTGTGAGCAATAATTTATCCAAACGTTGTAGTGGTTCCTCTTATTTCGGATTTTCAGCAGGCCAGGGCACTTTATATCGCTTATTTGTTAGGACTGGGACAATACTGTTATAAATGCCGACTACAGTGGATCTAAAGATATCAAAACATTCCGAGACAACAAGCTCTCCCAGTATTGAATCTAAAACACGGCCAAGCTTATTTGAGAAACTAGATAGGTTTCACTATGACTATTAACATCACAAGCACTAAGAGACGATTTGAAAATGATGCTAGACTAGGTAAAATTGTCAAGGTTGAAGTCGCCAAGCACACAAAGATGATCATCACCAGCTTTATTACAAACCAGAGAGAATATACTTTCCGACGAGAGCTGCGTAAAGACTATGGCTACTATTCGGTGGTATATATTAAACCAACAACGCTTATTAGCCTGTGCCCCAGGTGCTGCCAGCTAGCGAGTTGAGGACATTGTTGCGGCTCTGCGCGCCGAGAAAGAGAGAACGTAACTCCGAGTATTTTGGGGTTGTTCACAGTCGAAATTAGTTCGCCGTCGACGTCAATTCCTAGCTGTAGTCTGACCTCTTTCGACGAGGTTATGAAAATGGTGTCCGAGGATTTCTCAGGGGAGAGGGTTAGGCCCCTTGCAATGAAGAAGCTTCGGAGCGGTAACCGTTTACTTTCGAGCACAGGTCATCAATTCCATTCCCTGACGCTATTATCGAGCAATCTCAGCATAAGAGACAATAGTGACTCCCTCTTTTTAGCTATTAAGAATGGTAGTATGAATAACTCTGTAATTTTTAGTCCCTGCAGCAGTAGGCGGCATTTGATGTACAATTATGCCCATTTAATCTATTGGTAAAATGTTCAGGATAATATTTTCCACAAGGCACCACGTATAAAGATTAGCGCCGTTATTTGTATTTTCTGTAGTTTAAGAACGGTCGTCTTTTTCTCTAAGACTAGCCACCAAGCGAATACGCCATAGAGACGTATAGGTCTGATACCACAGTATACACAACAACAACACCAGTATCCAAGATTTGGAGACTTACCCCACTTTTGACCTGTCTGCAGCTGTAAATGGCTATTGCAGCCTTGCGCACCTTTTCCTGGACAACGCGAATTGCGATGCTGGTAGCAGAGGAAGAATAAGGTCTCTTCTGGGAAAGAAAGACCAGGTGGAGAAGACTTGTCCTCATTTGGCATTTCCGATTGTCGTAAGTTAGCACAGAAGAGACTGGCATGTTATAGTGAATTCGGCCAGAATCTCTCACGATGTAACAGCGCCAATCAAGAAGAAGAGACGGCAGTTTCTGCATAACATTATGACAATCTTTTCTTCTTATACAGCCTATTTTTCTAATTAAGACGCAGGCGCGTAAGGTCCGTATCCGTCTGACTTGAGGTGTGGTGGAAGGTTTTTTATGTGAATTAACCTGTTACCGCTAACCTAGCGAGATTCTCTAATTTTAAGTCTATGGGCCGTATCATTTCTTAAGCAGCGGCCATCATTTCCAATGGCTTGAGATATAAGGATTCCCTCAATACCATCGACCACACCAAACGTGCATAAAGTAATGATCAAGAACAAAATCATATGCAATGGCTTTAAAACTACGAATTAATTCCAACCTATATCATATTATAGCAAAAAAACATATTGAGCTACAAACTTTTATTCTATGTAGAGCAAAACCTCGATTTAACGAAGTTAAAAAGAAATTCTGCTTTGCGGTTTCAATTGATGCGATGTATAGTATATGAAGTATGTATACATTTCTTCCTGAGTACATATGTATGCACATATTTTCATTTGTTTAAAGTTTTTTAAATTAAATTAAGTAGCAATATTTCCAATAAAAGCGATAAAAAAAAATGTATTTGAAAAACTAACGTACAAACGTATTTAACCAAAAAATGTAAAGCAAACAGCAATATGCAAAGGAAATGGACGCACTCCAAATATGTACTTGATTTGAGAAGAAAGGAAGAAAAATCCTCACATAGGCATATTAGGATATATATAAATTAAAAGTGTTGTTGAGTGTGGCGATAAAAATAAACGGAAAGCATCATTCATAGGCGTGTTTTGGGCTAACGCAAATATGCACTACATATGCATGTATGTATGTATGTACTATGAGTATATGTACTTGAATTATTTATGACCTTTGCAGCTCAACATCACTCACCTGATACGAATGCGACTGATGCTTCTCGAAGTAGCTGAAAAGATGTAGGAAAGATGGTTAAATTCATTCGTTATATTTATAAATAAGTAAAATTAATATCATACATTGTTTTAAGGTTATGTAGAACGTGTAAATGCTTGAGCAAGCTTTACTGGGCAGCAACAAGTAAAATATAGTTCAACTTTTGCTGTTAAGGGTTGAAACAAAACATCACCTGCTTATGTACATACAAACATTTAGGTATTTTATATCCCAGTGGCAAAAGGTAATGTTTGGGAATGCAAAATGTAATGGATAGCCCCTATAACCTATGCACGAAAAGATGCAAGAATTTATCTACAGCGTTTTCATACGAAAGTAATGTGTTGCATGCTTTTACAAAACTATAAATAGAATATAAAAATGAATTTATAGACAAATAATAATGCCCGTGCGACAGGGTTTGAACCCGGGACCAACAAGTTGGTTGTCGAACGCACCCATTCAGCTTATGAGATAACGTGAAAATAGACATACCTAAGCTAATGCTCAAACTTTTTGTTTTGTTTGTGTGTGAAAACTACACATTTTCTGCTCGCTCACATTTCTTATTTTTCTTTTCGTTCAACCGTAGTTGTTAATCTTTTCTTGGTAGGAAAAGGTAATGCTTTCCCCTTTTCCCACTGGGATGTTTTGCTTTTCACACGCACATCCATGATCAATAAAAGAGAGCGACGATGTGTACAATTTGGGATTGTCGGCGGACAAAACCGTCGAACTCTCGACAGGAATAAGGTAAAAACATGCACAATATGGGTTCGAAAGACGCAGAAAATTAATGCCATATAAAAACAAGTAAGAAAGTCTAAGTTCGGGCGGAGCCGAACATTAAATACCCGGCGCAAGTATTAGATATATGTTTTCCTCCTTTCCGAAAGCTACCGCTACATGATAAGCCGGGGTGTATACATTTTAAGTAAATTAGCGTCCTTAAATTTCGAAATATTGAAATTTCAAGCATTTCTGAAATTTACCGTTATATGAAGAGCGGCCTCAATTTTAGTCCGATTTCAACAATTTTCAACGGTTTGCTTTTATGTGGCAAGCACAATAACCATACCGAGCTTGGTACAAATTGCTAGAACGGTTAGCGAGATACATATATGTGATCACAAGTGG